AGCAACTCCACTGGGTTCGAAAGAACCCAACAAGCCTTGGATGAGGCAATTTGGTTTGATGATGATTGTTTGATTTAGAATGAATGAAGAAGATTCAAGAAGGAGGATGGTAAGGAAGAAGATGAGGGCCATTTACTCGGTCGAGAACCCAACAAATTCGTTGGGTTTCAAAACCCAATAGCTCCATTGGGTTCTTTTGAACCCAACAAGCCTCGAATGAGGCAATTTGGTTTGATGATGACGATGGATTTTGTTTGATGATGATTGCTTGATTTAGAATGAATGAGAACCCAACAGATTCGTTGGGTTTCAAAACCCAACAACTCCACTGAGTTCTTTCGAACCCAACAAGCCTTGGATAAGGCAATTTGGTTTGATGATGACGATGAATTTTGTTTGATGATGATTGCCTGATTTAGAATGAATGAAGAAGATTCGAGAGGGAGGATGCTGAGGAAGAAGATGAGGGTAAAATTGTAAATTTGATGGATTGAATAATTATATTTGTTACATTAGGTGGCAAAGGTTTTTAGCCACGTCATTTAATGTGTTAAATATTTGGACATGTCATTTTTATTCCATCAATTAACAGGTCACCTCAACAAAAATTTAATGGATGGATCAAATCAAGGCAAAATGATAAACAGTAGGGACTAAATCAGAAATTTTTTAAATTTAAAGATCAAATTGAAGATCCATACAATAGTTTAAGGACCAAAATGAGATTTTAACCAAAAAAATTTTTATAAAAAGTTACTTGTCAGCTAAATACCAATGTTTTTGGGTCGGGTCGGTCCAATCGGTTCAACCAGTTCAATCGGGCCTAGACTTGAAAACGTGCCGGTTACGTCCTTCAGCCCGTTTTCACATTTGGCCTACTCCAACTCGTCCAGCCCGTGCCCGCCTCACCCGCTCAGCTCGTTCCACTCGTTGAACCTACCGAGCTACACCACATCTCTTCAATTAACTCAACTTTTTTCCATTTTCAAGGCAATTAACTCAAATTTTATCCCATCTTTTTCATATTATTACATTAAAAACCATTAAACTTCAATTAAGATTAGATTAAAAAAAAAACCCTAGAAGGTCAAAAAAAAAAAACTCGGCAGCCCAAAAATGTTGCAGAACACTACTTGCTCTCCCTGCTCTCACCAGTCACCAGCACCATGTTTGAAAGAAGAAACAGATCGATCTCCTTGCTCTCACCACCATCACGTTGGCAGCTCATCTTCGTTGCCTTCCTGTCCTTCCCAGCAGCAGCTTCTTCTTCACTAAATAGCGCAACAGCTGCAAAACAGATCTGCAATTCTGCATCTGCTCTCAACCACCACCGTCAACAGCCTTCTCCAACCCCTTGCCTTCCTCCACCGAACAGCAGACAGACCAATCTCCCTGCTCTCACCACCATCGTGTTGGCAGCTCATCTTCCTTGCCTTCCTCTCCTTCCCAGCAACAGCTTCTCCTTCACTGAATAGAGCGTAGAAGCAC